GGGGGGGGGGGGGGGGGGGGGGGGGGCACAAGACGGGTGCGATTCCCTGGCACTTTGGGTGTGTGTGTGTGTGTGTGTGTGTAGCTCTCGGAAGACGGTTCCTCCCTGGGCTGAACAGACAGCAGGTCCCCGAAGGGAAACCCCAGATTTCCTCTTCCTCTTTGAGTCTCTCTTGGGGGGGGGGCTTTCAATTTGGGGGGGGAGTGATAGCAGCATTCCAGCATTGGAGGGGCTGCCTCAAAGAAGACGGGGGGGCGCAATCTATTCTCCAAAGCATCAGAGGACAAGAATCCATGCATGGAAACTCAATCCAGGAGAGAAGCGACTTGAAATGAAGGAGACATTTTCTGACCGGGAGGACAATGAACCAGGGGAACTGCTCGCCACCAGAAGTGGTGGCTGCTCCAACAGGGGAGGATTTTTTTAAAGAAGAGGCTGGACAGCCACTTGTCAGGAATGGTCTAGGCTAGGGTCTCCTGCTCGAGCGGGTGGGGGTGGGGGTTGGACTAGATGACCTCCGAGGTCCCTTCCAACGCTGCTGTTCTGACATTTGAGGGGCTGCCCCAAAGAGGAGGGGGGTCCACCTCTTCTCCAAAGCACCAGAAGAAGCGAAGGATGGAAAGTCACCAAGGAAGGAAGCAGCCTGGGACTCAGGAGAAAGTTCCTAACAGTGAGGACAGTTAACCAGTGGAACGGCTTGCCACAAGAAATCGTAGTTACCCCATCAATGGAGGTTTTTAAGAGACTGGACAGTCAAAATTGTATAGGGCCTTCTGCTTCAGCCACGGGGTTGGACTAGAAGACCTCTAAGGTCCCTTCCGGCTCTATTTGGATGGGATGCTGATTTCAAAGGCCCCCTTATGTCCCCACCATCAGATGTGTCCCCTAGTGGAAACCTCTGCCTGTTTATCTCTGGAAGGGGAGGGTTTCCATGGCTGAAGGTTTTTAAGGAGGGGCTGAAGACTGCCCTGATCTTATGGGGTTTGCTAGATGACCACTGGGGGCCCCTTTCCAATTTTAGCAGTGTAGGGACTCCTCTACTTACAACAGTTCATTGAAGTGACCGTTGGCACTGAAAATGACTTAGGACCATTTTTCACACTTACCACCAACATTCCCACGTGATCCAAATTCAGCCACTTGGCAGCCGACTCATATTTATGACGGTCTCAGGGTCACGTGATCCCCTTTTGCGACCTTCTGACTAGCCACGTCAACAGGGAAGCCAGACTCTACTTAACGACCCAGTTACTCATTGAACAACCACCATGATTCGCTTAACAACGGTGGCGAGAAAGGTCGTAACATGGAACGAAACTCACTTAACAACCCCCTGGCTCGATTGTGGTTATAAGCGGAGGACTACCTGCCTTGATTCTCCCAGGGTGCCATGGGGCAAGCAGGTTGGGTCTCAACCTTGGTTAATCCTGAAGTATCCAAGCCAGGTGCGGTGGGCTGGTTTACTCCAGGATGGGAGGCCACCAGGAAATCCCTGGCCTGCAATGAGAAGGTAAACCTTTTCAATCTCGGGAGAGGGCAGGGAGGGGCTCTGGGGGTCCCCAGAATGGCACTCAAGGGGATTCCCTCCCAGGCCCTTTGCATTGGGGGGGGGTGGAGGGGGGGGCTAGATTGGAGGGGGCGCAACAGCAATGCCCCCCCAAGTTCGAGAACGGGAAGTGCCCCAGTAGTTCCTCCATCGACGCTGATTTCAGCCCAAGTGGAAGCAGCGGGATGCAATTTGGGGGGGGGGGGGGAGGATGAAACCAGCCCCGTTCCTCAGAATCCGAACCCAGATCTTCTCCTTCCCAAAGGCGTCAAGAGTTCTGCAAGCAAGGGTCCCCTTGAGATCATCAGCCCCTCTGATATTCTCCTAGAGGGGGGGGCACTTTAAGCTTTGGAGGACTTCAATTCCCAGAATTCTGGGAGTTGAAGTCCACCACGTTGCCAAGGTTGGAGGCCCCCTGCTCCAGCAGGCCCGCAACTTGGGGGGGGGTGCTGAGTTCAAGTCCTGCTCCCCCCTCCCCAGTGCATTCCCCCTGCCCCCTTTCAACCTTGATGGGGTTGGATTCCCTGGGGACTCACCTTCACACACCCCCATCAGAATCCCAGCGTTGGGCGGGGGGACCTCAGAGGTCCTCTAGCCCAGCCCCCTTGCTCAAGGAGGAGACCCTAGATCCCATCCCAGCCAGTCCGATCTCTTTCAATCCAATCCAATCGACCTCCATCGTCAGAGCACGACAGGTGTACGACAAGATGGGCTGAGCCTCCTACTTGAAAAAAAAACCTCCCGGGATGGAGCTCCCCACAACTTCTGGTGGCAAGCAGTTCCACGGGTGAATGGTTCTGTGTCAGGGACAGTCCTCCGTCGGATCTAGGGTTGATTCTCCCCTTCCTTAAGGTCCCTCCATGGCTTCGCCAAACCTTCCCCGCCCGTCCTCCAGCCCGCCCTGCTCCACGACGCCCATCATCCGCAGCCGGCGGGGGAAAGAAAGGGAGGCCAAGACAAAGGGAACCTCAGTGGGGAGGAGGTGGGGGAATCAAACTACACTTCCCGGCATGCGCAGGGGAAGGGGCGGGGGCGGGGCTCGGAGGGGAGAGAGAGAGAGAGAGAGAGAGCGGGACGTCCCCGCTTTACCTGGAGGGGGCGGGGCCAAGGCAATGCCCCGCCCCCAGCCCCGCCCCTCCCGCTAGAGAGGAGGGAGGAGGGAAAAGGAGGAGGCGGCGGTGGCGGCGGGACTGGCCGGAGCCGCTGAGCGAGAGGCCAGGCGCGTCCCCGCGGCGGGCGCGTGGGAGGGGGGGGCGAGAAGAGCAAGCCGTGTGTGTGTGGAAGGGGGGGGGGTGTTGTCCGGGCACGCGCGCTCCCGCCCCGCCCGCAACATGGCCGAAGTGGGCATCGACCGCTCCAAGCTGCCCGGCGTGAAGGAAGGTGAGGCGGGCGGGCGGGCGGGCGGGAAGGAGGCTGCCCGGGGGCCTCGCCCTCCCGGCTGGACGGAAGGAGCCGCCGCCCCCAATGGGCTTCCTTGGGGCGGCAGCCACCACCAAGCCCGTGGTGCGTAGCCGGCCGGCAACCGGGGAGGCGGCGGCGGCGGCGGCGGCGGCGGCGCTTGTGTCGGACTTTCGGCTTCTCTCGGCCCGGGAGGGTCCGGAGGCCCAGCGGGGAAGGGCCGGGCCGCGCCGCCTCAGCGCCGGCCCCGCTTCAACAGCCGGGAAGGGGGCGAGGGGGGCGCGGGGCCAGCGCCACCTGTCGCGGGAAGCCAGCGGGGCTCCCCGGCTTCGTTCAGCCGGCGGCGGCGGCGGCGGCGGCTTCCTGCGCTCGATACTTTGTAGCGGCGGGAAAGAAGGGAAGGAAGGAAGGAAGGAAGGAAAGAAAAGGAAAGGGAGGGAGGAAGGCAGGCGCCTCCAGGGAGTCGCTTGGAAAGTCCCGGAGGGGGAGCAGCCCCCCCGCCCCCCCCCCCAAGGGGGGGGCTGGCTGGGGGGTTTCTCTGGCCGGCCTCCCTCCGTTCCTCCCTCTTTCTCCGTCTCTCTCGGACTTTCTCTCTCTTTTCCCCTCCCTCTTTCTTTCTCTCTCTCCCTCCATCTCTCTCTTCCCCCCCTTTCACTCTCCTCTCTTGCTCTCTTTCCTCTTTTTCTCTCACTCCTCTTGTTCTCTCTTTCCCTCCCTCTCTCCCTCTTTTCCTCTCCTCTCTCTTTCCACTTTTTCTCCTCTCTTTCTTTCTCTCTCCCCCCCTCTTTCTGTCTTTCTCTGTCTCTCTCTCCCCTCTTTTTCTCTTTCTCCTCTCTCTCTTTCCCTCCCTCTCTTTCTTTTAACTCTCCCCTCTTTCCTCTTTTTCTCTCTCCTCTCTCTGTCTTTCTCTGTCTCTCTCCCCCCTCTTTTTCTCTTTCTCCTCTCTCTCTTTCATTCTCTTCCCCCCTCTCTTTCTTTCACTCTCCCCTCTTTCCTCTTTTTCTCTCTCCTCTCTCTCTCTTTCTGTCTTTGTCTCTCTCTCCCCCCTCTTTTTCTCTTTCTCCTCTCTCTCTTTCATTCTCTTTCCCTCCCTCTCTTTCTTTCACTCTCCCCTCTTTCCTCTTTTTCTCCTCTCTCTCTCTCTCTCTCTCTCTCTCTCTCTCACACACACACACACACAACACCCTGCTTGCTGTTGCAGACTGCTTCCTCGCTCCCCCAGGTGCAAATCCCACTTCTCCACACAGCTGGTCCTTGACCACAACAGGAGGCCAAAACTTCCACTGCCAGGCTAGACATTTCCTAAGTGGGGTTTGCCCCACTTTACGACTTCCCTGGCCACCGTTGTTAAGGGAATCGCCACAGGTGTTAAGTTAGTCACACGGTCATTAAGTGAATCTGGCTTCCCCATTCGCTTGGCTTGTCAGAAGGTCGCAAAAGGGGATCACGTGACTCCCCAAGGACACCGCAACCGTCGTAAATACGAGTCAGTGGCCAAGCCTCTGAATTTTGATCACGTGACCACGGGGGAGGCTGCAACTGTCGTAAGTGTGAAAAAACGGTCCATCAGTCCCTTTTTTTCAGCGTCGTAAGTTTGAACAGTCACTAAATGAACTGCGGCCTCCTGGAGGTCACTTGATTCCCTTTTGTGACCTTCTGAAAAGCAAAATCAATGGGGAAGCTGGATTCACTTAATGACCATGTTCCTGACATAACGGCGGCGACTCGCTGAAGAAATGTGGCGAGAAAAGTCGGAAACAGGGGAGCAAAACTCACATCAGAGTTCGGGGCTTGTAAGCAAAGCAGAGTCGCTGTGGCCAGCTGAATTAAATCCTCTTAAGATAAATCAACGAGTAGCCGTTGGGGTTAAACCGTGGAAATTGGGGGCTCAGTGGTGGTCGCAAGTCAAGAACTTGATGTACTTGTGGGATTGCTTTGAGAGAAGGAAAATGGCTTTGCAAGATCTGCCCGAGATTTTGTTTGTGAGACAAGCCCTTCCCTTGATTTTTCGGGAAAGATCTTATTCTGAGCAGCGGGCTGGACTAGAAGACCTCCAAGGTCCCTTCCGACTCTGGTATTCTGCTATTCTGTTATTCTTTGGGGGGGGAGGGGCTGTGTGTGTTGGAGAAGGAGAAGAAGACCTAGGAAGTGGGATCCATTCTTGTCTCCCTGACCTCCTTTGGCCCCCAGAGTAAGTCTGTCTCTCTCTCTCTCTCTCTTTATCCTTGTGTAGTTTTAATCCTCCCTCTGGGCAGGAGGCATCAAACACACACACACACACACACACACAAAGGACCCCCAAATCCCTCCACACCTGCCTTACAAAAAAACAACAACAACAACCCACAACTTCTTCCAAGATATTTGCAGATTGTGTTAGCCTCAGGTATCAAAAAAAAAAAACAAAAAAAAAAAAAACCAGGCGAAAGTTGGAAGCAACTTTTCTGACTCACAAATTTTTTATTCAAAGGCTGTGTAAAGCCTTTGTGGGCCGCAGCTTCCTTAGATGTGTGTAGATGGGTTAAGCTGATTGCAGAAGGGGAATTTGCGCCTTGTCAGAAGGAACATGATGTGGGTTACGGCCTACATCCAGGGTGGCAACTAAAATAATGGCCATTATTTGCTTTATATTTGTGTGTACACACACACACACACACACACACACACGGGTCCGTTTGCATAATCACCTTTGGCCTGTTGCTAAAGGATGTTCTGGATTTGCAAAAAAAAAAAACACCCACCACCTCTTGAGTTGCAAACTGAATTTGGCCAATATTGTAGATCAGGGAGAAGCACCAAAATAAGAGGGCTTCATATCTACGTTGGGAATGTAAGCAAGGAGAAGGGAAGAAGATTTATTGTGCTGGGTGGACAGGTAAAAAAAAAACTAATTTTGCATTCAAAGGCACCGATTCAGAGGATTTTTAAAAAGGGCCATTATACAGTTGGAGTTATAAGTCTTCCGTTTTGGCGGCTGACGGACAAAGAGTTGGAAAAGAGGCGTTGGAACTTTGTATATTTGTAGATGAAAAATGGCGGGGAGATTATTTTATGGTCAGAGATGGAAATGTTCGGCAATCCCTACAGTGGAGGAAGGTTTGGTGATGGTGGCTAAATTGACTCATTTGATGAGAGAAAAGACAATATCTGTGCTTATTGCTGGCTGGAAATCGCTTGTGGACTTTTTGTGCAGAACAGACAAAAAATAAATTTGTGATTTATGGTTTTGGTGCTTAGATGCAGATTTTAGGAAGGAGAAAGTTCTGTTGGAACTTTACAGGAAGAGGTAAATTTCTAATTGTATTTTTAACTGCTCTAAAAAGGATCAGGAACCATTTATTTACATCCTATTGTCTGTTTTTCTTTTTTCCTTTCTTCACTTTTAGCTTGCTTTCCTTTTCTTTGGCCTACCTTGCTTTTTATTAGTTTATATTTGTTTTTACCCTCGTTTTAAAAAGTTTTAATAGCAGTATTTTTTTAAAAAACCCAGAAAAAGCCAAAGTAAACATTGCATAAACTTTTTGTTGTTGTGTACACAACCCACTGGCTGGATCTTTACCAGACTTTTAGTCCATTTTGCCAAATTATGTTATGCAAATAGTGTCCCAAGAGAAATATTTGGAAAACTGTGCAAGCTAAAACTTAGAATAATTTTTCTTACACTGAACGGCTAAAAAGTTTTTTCCTAATTGGTTTGTCTTAAGTTATTTGTCATTGAAAGGCAAGGAAAGATTTATCTGAGGTTTATGAGAAACAGCTACGGGCAGTCCTTGACTTAACAACAATTCATTTAGTAACCAATCGACGTTACAACGGCTCTGGGAAAAGTGACTTATGACCCTGTTTCACACTTACAACCGTTGCCGCATCCCATGGTCCCGTGATCAAAATACAGACATACAGGTAGTCCTTGAGTTACAATAGTTCATTTAGTGACTGTTCAAAGTTATAATCGCAGTGAAAAATGTGAGTTATGACCATTTTTCACACTTACGACTATTGCAGCATTCGTATGTCACATGATTTACATTTGGATGGTTGACAGCCGACTCTCATTTATGACGATTTTAATGTCCCAGAGTCACACGATTCTCTTTTTGCGACCTTTCCGATGAGCAAAAGTCAATGGGGAAGCTAGATTTGCTTAATGACTGGGTTACTAACTCAACTGCAGTGATTCACTTAACAACGGCATCAAAGGTCATAAAATGGGGGAAACATTCACTTAAGCACTGTCTCACCTAGCAAAACAGTAATTTTGGGCTCAGTTGTGGTCGTAAGTACAGGATTCGCTTAACGACCGGGTTACTAACTCAAGAACTGCAGGGATCCACTGGACAAACGCGTCAAGGAAAGTTGTAAAATGGGCCAAAACTTACTTAACAAACTTCTCACTTAACAAATACCTCTTTATGTTGCTAACATAAATGTTGGGCTCAATTCTGGTCATAAGTTGAGGACTACCTGTATTTATGATGGTCGCAGTGTCCAGGGGTCATAGGATCCCCTTTTGCGACCCTTCTGACAAGCAATGTCAACGGGGAAGCTGGATTCACTTAAAGACCATGTTACTACCTCAGCGACTGCCGTGATTCACTTAACAGCAGTGTCAAGAAAGGTCGTAAAATGGGGGGAAGCCTTCACTTTAGCCCTGTCTCACTTAGTGACAGTAATTGTGGGCTCAATTGTGGCCATACGTCCAGGACGGACTGCCCAATTCTAGGCCCCAGATTCGATCTCCAACCTTGGCCACTTGAAGACTTCAACTCCCAGAATTCCTCAGCTGGTGAAGCTTCCGGCCTTCAACTCCCAGCATTGAAGAGAACTAAAATTCAGACGGAGAGATTGCAGAGGGAGGGATCTCAAGAGACGAAGCAGAGCCGGCTGGGGAATTCTGGGAGTCGAAGTCCTCCAGTCTTCAAAGGGCCAAGTTTGGAGACCCCCTGCTCTAGCCTAGAGATCAGAGGGTGACAGGTGTGAAA